CTGCCAACCGAATTTTGCGGCCACCCAGGTAATACATGTATGAATATATCAGTGCAAGTGCAACACAAGTACATCAGCATTTTCTCCAAGAAATACGGTGGTACATGTAAAAGGGGAGTGCATACATACGTGCAGAGACACCGACTGTGGAACACAGTGACTGCCTCAGACATTCATAATATTTTTGCGGCGTAACTCATTACAGAATCAAAACATGTCAGCTCATTTCATGACTTTAACCTCCCATCTACTTTCTCTCCCCTTCTCACTCCCCCTCTCCCCCAGTCTCTCTCTCTCTCTCTCTCTCTCTCTCTCTCTCTCTCTCTCTCTCTCTCTCTCTCTCTCTCTCTCTCTCTCTCTCTCTCTATGTGTACGTGTATACTTTTAAAATATATAGCTCATTCTCTATCCCTCTCTCTCTCTCTCTCTCTCTTTTGGGTGAATAGCGCTGTGAATATTAATATTGAATAACAAATGTTGCTGATGAAATTATATTTTAGAAATCAAACGCACCGTTATTTGAAAAGCACAAAAAATGGCTTCAAGCTTCGAAGCGTCGATAAAGTTTCATTTCCTCAAAATCGCTCTATAGTTGTTTCTGCAAATAACCGTTCCTGTCCTCATGGAAAAACATTGTGAAAATAATCAACTGAACTTAACTTTTCTTTTCTTTGTTCTTTAACTGTTTGGCCCTAATTTGTCCAATAAAATCCATCCATGTCTGTTCCAGGCAGTTTCTTTGAAACGTATCCTCGTCACCGAAAGTTAATCAGCATCAACAAACGTCACACGGGCCAGGTGAACCCGGAGTTCAACTTACGTCATGACTGGAACTCCCTGTTGTCCCATGACCCAGACCTGCTGCTCACCAAATACACCAGGTACCAAGTCGTGGTGACCCCTGACACGTCTTTTGTTGGTTTGTTTGGTTGGTTGGTTGGTTGGTTGTTTGTTTGGTTGGTTGGTTGGTTGGTTGTTAGGCTGGTTGGTTGGTTGGTTGGTTGGTTGGTTGGTTGGTTGCAATGTCAACAATGTTCACAAAAATATATCAAATAACTAAATTGATTTCAGGAAGGAAAAGGATGTGCCACGGATATGTGGTATTCAACTTCTGAAAAATAAAGATAAACTACTATTATATAACACAACTCAGATTATAATTTGTGAGTGAGTTTTGCTTTAATGGATAATGGACAAGACGACGAATAAGCAAATGTGAGTTTGATTTAAACATGAGTAAGCAAACATGTGCATATTCAACACGAATATTTCTTTTTTTTTTGCAGACAAATGTTTCCTCATGCAGATGTGTTGGTCAAATATCTGAGAGATTATGAGGTATGGTCATCAGTCACGTTTGTTGCAAGATTTCTATCACCGCAATGCTTGTTCACATAACCATCCGAGTGGTATGAAATTGTAGGCTCAACCGAGCACAGAACTGGAAACAAAACTTTTTTTTTTCTGCATACAATATACTCATTTCATTGTCGCACATTTGAGACCTTATGTAATGCCTTAATCAAAGGCAGTAGCATGAATCACGAAAGATGAGAAAATAAAAAGTTTTGGTAAAATTTCCCATAATTTGTTTTGGTCATTATAATTTTAACAAACAGCAAGAACGGAGTGTTTTATACCGTCTTCATCTACTGTGATCGTGTTCTCCCAAAATCGCTTTGAAGGCTGCAATTGACCACGATCCTTTCTTTTCAATTCAAAAGGTAACCAAAAGAATAAATGATAAAGGACTGATGACAACTTTATTTGTTTTGGGTTATTGAACAGAAATGTACCGATGGCAGTTGTTCTGTATTTACACTGAATCTTTGTATTCTAATGTTCTGGTTTATCAGATGTACACACGGGCGTCTGTGGTGTAGCAGTTAAGCTCTTCGCTGTCGCATGCAGAAGACTCGAGTTCGATTCCCGAGTGAGAGGAAAATTTTTATTAAGTACATATCTCGGTCCAACTGCTGGGATGTTGTATCCCTCTCAGCCTGGGTTGACTCTAGCACGCAGGGTCGGAAGCCCGCTTCCTAAATGATCTAAATTGTGTCGATATGGGCGCAAAAACATCATTAAAAAACTCCCGAATTTTTCTTGTGGGTCAATAAAATAATCGTATCTTATCTTGTCTTATCTCATTTTTGTTCTCATAGCAAAAGATGTGACGTTAGATCTGTAATCGTGAGATTGCGGGTTCGAAGGTTCGAGCCTCAGCTCGGTCCGACGTTGTGTCTTTGGGAAAGGCACTTTCCACGAATGTCCCACTTTGACTCAGTCTTTTCTGAGATTGACTTTAAACTCAAAGATCCCGTCCCTTAAGTAATCTACTAGTGTTGATAGGGGCGTTTTAAACCTATACAATTTCACCATTTTCATAGCAAAAGCTTGGTATCAATGTCCTCTACAACACATCGGTTACCAACATCCGCCCAGTGGATGACGTCACTGTGTCTGACGGTCACCGATTTCTGATGGAGGACCAGAGAGGGCAGCAATACCAGTGTCGGTGAGTAAGTGCAAGAGCCAATGTAGTAGATAGTCCCGCGGACAGGAGACTCGAAACCGTAGGCTTGAAACTCGCCCGGGTGCCCGAATTTGTGTCCTCGGGAAAAGCACTTTACACGAATTTTCCTCACTTCACTCAAATGGGAATGGGTAGCCGGCTATAGAAAGATCTGAAATTGCCAGTTTGCTAGTGTTTGAGCGCTTAATCATCTGCTTGCACGGTACGCTTCGCTTGGTCTACTGGGCTAATAACACAGTGTAAAGTAAAGTATAGAGCTTTCTGTTGAGCGGGGATATGCGCTGTACAAATGCTATTTACTATTACT